TATGGAATGCAATGAAATACCCCAAGGAGGAAACGCAATGAACGCCCACTCCTGGAACCTTCAGAAACGCCCATCAAAAGCATTGCAACAGCACCCAGCACCCCTTCCCTTCCCCACCATGAGTCCTTGGCCTCACGCCTTCGCCCTCCTCCTCCTCCTGGCCGCCGTCCCAGGTAGGGCCCGGTCCCGCGGAGGTGCCGGCGGCCCCGGCTCCCCACAGCCGTGCGGGGGCCGTGCCGTGCGGCTGAGCCACCGCTCTCTGTCCTTCCTCCCCAGGGCTGCGGGCGGCCGCGAATTTGGACGAGACCGGAGGGGGCCTCGTGAAGCCTGGGGGCTCCCTGACCCTGGTCTGCAAGGGCTCCGGATACACCTTCAGTGACTACGCATATATTGGGTGCGACAGGCACCCGGGAAGGGGCTCGAGTGGGTTGCAGATATTAGCACTGATGGTAGTAGCACATACTACGCATCGGCAGTGCAGGGACACTTCACCATCTCCAGGAACAACGGGCAGAGCACGCTCACCCTGCAGATGAACAGCCTCAAGGCCGAAGACACCGCCACCTACTACTGCGCGAAAGGTTATAGTAGTTATGCTGGTGATGCTTATGGTATTGATGTTGCACGTGGTGGTGGTGTTGGTACCACGCAGAGCACAGGGAAGTGCCTTGGACATGCATTTTGGGTCTCCTCCACCATCCCCTTCCATTTGGTGGTGTTTTAATGACCACCCTTCATCCCTGGCCAACCTCCATCACCCTCTGCCCATGCAGCCCCTCCATCAGGGGGTTCAGCAGCAGCAGCACCAATCTCACCAGGATGAGCACAACTACTACTACACTACCACTGTAAGCACTTTCACGCAGTAGTAGTAGGTGGCGGTGTCTTCGGCCTTGAGGCTGTTCATCTAAAGGGTGGCCGTGCTCTGCCCGTTGTTCCTGGAGATGGTGTGAAGCGTCCCTTCACCGCCGACGCGTAGCCTGTGGTGGTTACCATCATAGCTAATATCTGCGACCCACTCGAGCCCCTTCCCGGGTGCCTGTCGCACCCACTGCATGTTGTAACTGCTGAAGGTGAAGTTGAAGTGGAGCCCTTGCAGACCAGGGTCAGGGACTACCCAGGCTGAGCCCACCGCTCTCTGTCTTCCTCCCCAGGGTGCGGGCGGCCTTGATGTTGATGAGTCCGGAGGGGGCCTCGTGAGTCCAGGGGGTCCCTGACCCTGGTCTGCAAGGGCTCCGACTTCACCTTCAGCTACTACGGCATGGGATGGATGCAACAGGCACCCGGGAAGGGGCTCGAGTACGTCGCAGAAATTAGCAGCTACACGCACTCATTAATTGCACGCACTCAATTATTTCGTGGTTGATTCTTGACTGGAACTCATTGCGGTTCTTTGGTGAAGACAAGGAACTCAACAAAGTTGATTTTTGGGGGCATTTTCCACCATATTCTAATTAATTGTGCCTCTGGAATTATTTCATTTTGATCTTTGACAAGCATTTGTTTCATTTCTCTATTATTCCATTTAATTCCCTACCCCGCACTAATTCATGGGGTGCTTTGAGATATTTCATCGTGATCACTGATCACTTATGACACGGAATTATTTAATTGGATGGGATATTTGATATTAATGCTGAGTAATTTAATTGCAATCTCTTCATAAATGCACACAGAAAACAGAAAGCGGCCGTGTTTTGGGGCTGCTCCAGCTGCTGAGGTTTCAGGCCGTACCAAAATAACTCGTTTTTCTGCCCAGAAATAGCCCCCGCACAAACATCTGGCTGGCTGCGCTTGGCTGGGCAGCGCTGCAGGTCTCAGCAAAAACTTCTCAAATCAGGGGATTTTTATATAAAAAGTGAAAAGACATTCCCACATTTTGGATTAAGCTGGCCCCAAAGTGCTAAAAAATATGCTAGTATTCTGGAAAAAAAGAGGAAAAAGGAGGATAAAATCCATGTAATATGTGCGTTAATGGCCAGGATAATAATCAATACCCTAATTTCAATCAAAATAGTGTTAAAAAGTAGGAAATGTGTATTATTTGCGTTGAAAAATGACCATTAAGGGCAAAGACCCTTGATTTTGTGGCCACATTGCCCCTGAAAATGGGCCAGGTGCTCGTGTTTGGGGCAAAGAGGGAATCTAGAGCCAAACACCTCTGTATTTGGGGCAAAAATACCCATGAAAGGGCAAAAGCATTGTCCATACTGAGGTCAAGAGTAAGCATAAGAGGCAATTCATCCTTCTATTTGGGGCAAGGGTAGCAACAAATGGGAAAATAATTTTTGGAACAAAATGTTGTGATACTGTGGGTAAAACAGAGCTCGCTGCAGTGCATGGGTAGTCCCAAACATCTCCAGCTCCCCTTCAGCAGCTACCTCATGGCATGGGTGCGACAGGCGCCTGGGAAGGGGCTCGAGTACGTCGCGAGTATTTACAGTGATGGTAGTAGCCCATGGTACGTGTCGGCGGTGAAGGGACGCTTCACCATCTCCAGGAACAACGGGCAGAGCACGGCCACCCTGCAGATGAACAGCCTCAAGGCCGAAGACACCGCCACCTACTACTGCGCGAGAGGTTATGCTGGTAGTGGTTATGGTAGTTGTGCTCATCCTGGTGAGATTGGTGGTGCTGCTGGAGCTGCTGGCATTGTTCATGGCCCAGGGAATACACCCGACACAACCAGTCCCAGCTTCCCGCAGCTCTTCTCACCATGAATACGGACAGCACCAGCACCAACGCCACCATGGTCATCATCAGGAAGGGCACCAATACTGTCAGCACCACCAGCAGCACCATCAAGAGCCTGACCACCACGATAGTCTTTCGCGCAGTAGTAGGTGGCGGTGTCTTCGGCCTTGAGGCTGTTCATCTGCAGGGTGGCCGTGCTCTGCCCGTTGTTCCTGGAGATGGTGAAGCGTCCCTTCACCGCCGACGCGTACCATGTGCTACTACCATCGTTCCTAATAGCTGCGACCTCTTCGAGCCCCTTCCCAGGTGCCTGTCGCACCCAGCTCATGCCGTAGTAGCTGAAGCTGAAGTCCGAGCCCTTGCAGACCCAGGTCAAGGATCCCCCAGGCTGAGCCCACCGCTCTCTGTCCTTCCTCCCCAGGGCTGCGGGCGGCCGCCACCTTGGATGAGTCCGGAGGGGGCCTCGTGAGTCCCGGGGGGTCCCTGACCCTGGTCTGCAAGGCCTCCGGCTTCACCTTCGGCGACTACAGCATGTTCTGGGTGCCACAGGCACCTGGGAAGGGGCTCGAGTGGGTCGCAGATATTAGCTCTGATGGTAGTGAGACATACTACCCGTCGGAGGTGCAGGGACGCTTCACCATCTCCAGGAACAACGGGCAGAGCACGGCCACCCTGCAGATGAACAGCCTCAAGGCTGAAGACACCGCCACCTACTACTGCGCGAAAAGTTATGGTGCTGGTTGGAGTGGTGGTAGTGCTGGTGGTGTTGCTGGCTGCAAATATTAGCATCACCAGTACCATCATAGATATCACGAAGACCATCACCAACACCATCAGCATGACCAGTACCACAACCAGTGTCATCAGCAGCTCCAGCACCAGCAGCACCATCAATCCTAGCAGCATAAGCACAACTACTACCAGCACATTTTGCGCAGTAGTAGGTGGCGGTGTCTTCGGCCTTGAGGCTGTTCATCTGCAGGGTGGCCGTGCTCTGCCCGTTGTTCCTGGAGATGGTGAAGCGTCCCTTCACCACCGGCGCGTAGCTTGTGAAACTACCATCATAGCTAATACCCGCGATCCACTCGAGCGCCTTCCCGGGTGCCTGTCGCACCCAGTTCATGGCGTCGCTGCTGACGGAGAAGCCGGAGATGTTTGGGGCTATCCAAGGACTGCTGTGAGATCTGAAGAGAGGAGATGTGGTGCCAGACAGCCACACGGCAGCAGAGGCTGGTGAAGGGAAGGGAGATGTGGAGGAGCTGAGTGACAGGAAGCAGAGTGCTCGGGTTCTCTGAGTGTGAAGGGGGCCTCGTGAGTCCCGGGGGATCCCTGACCCTGGTCTGCAAGGCCTCCGGATACACCTTCAGCAGCTGGGGCATGCTCTGGGTGCGACAGGCACTTGGGAAGGGGCTCGAAGATATCGCAGCTATTAGCAACGATGGTAGTAGCACAGGCTACGCGCCGGCGGTGAAGGGACGCTTCACCATCTCCAGGAACAACGGGCAGAGCACGGCCACCCTGCAGATGAACAGCCTCAAGGCCGAAGACACCACCACCTACTACTGCGCGAAAGGTGCTTACGGTGCTTATGGTTATACTCCTGATCCGATTGATGGTGCTGCTGGTGATGGTTCAGGACGTACCGCTACCACCACTGATAATACCCGCAATGAATTGGACTCTGCTGGACACCCTGTCTGGGGGAAGGACAATTCCTGCCCAAGGTCTTCACAGCCCAGCACCCCTCGATCTGGGGAAATGTAGCCATGAAAAAGTAGAAGTGTAATCATAGTAATGTGAACAGTAAGATAATAAGAGCCAACGTGTCCCTCTATTTGAGGTGTCCCAAAAACCCCCAGCTTCAGCAGCTACAACATGGAGTGGGTGCGACAGGCACCCGGGAAGGGGCTCGAGTTCGTCGCGGGTATTGAGAACGATGGTAGTCCCACATACTACGCGCCGGCGGTGAAGGGACGCTTCACCATCTCCAGGAACAACGGGCAGAGCACGGTCACCCTGCAGATGAACAGCCTCAAGGCTGAAGACACCGCCACCTACTACTGCGCGAAAGAAGCTGGTAGTGGTGGTTGGGGTTATGGTGAAGGTATTGCTGGTGCTGCTGATGCTGGAGCTGCTCGTGGCACTGGTTGTGGTACTGGTCATGCTGATGGTGTTGGTGATGGGCTTTGTGATGTTTATGACGGCCCTGGTGATGCTAATACTGTCAGCCATACTAATACTGCCTAATACTACTAATACTACTAATACTACTAATACTACTAATACATAGCAAATACTGCCCAAGGACTTTTCAACAAAACACCTAATTATGTGGGGCAAAAGAAGTCATGAAAGGTTAAACATAAAAATTACAAGGTTTAGAACACATTTAATGCACAAAGCGTGCTCTGCCCGTTGTTCCTGGAGATGGTGAAGCGTCCCTTCACCGCCGACGCATACTCTGTGTAACCACCACTATCGGTAATACCCGCAACGTATTCGAGCCCCTTCCCAGGTGCCTGTCGCACCCAGCTCATGCCGTAGTAGCTGAAGGTGAAGCCGGAGCCCTTGCAGACCAGGGTCAGGGACCCCCCGGGACTCACGAGGCCCCCTCCGGACTCATCCAACATCAAGGCCGCCCGCAGCCCTGGGGAGGAAGGACAGAGAGCGGTGGGCTCATGAGTCCTGGGGGGTCCCTGACCCTGGTCTGCAAGGGCTCCGGCTTCACCTTCAGCAGCTTCCAAATGTTATGGGTGCGACAGGCACCCGGGAAGGCTCTTGAGTTCGTCGCGAGTATTAGCAGCGATGGTAGTACCACAAGATATGCGCCGGCGGTGCAGGGACGCTTCACCATCTCCAGGAACAACGGGCAGAGCACGGCCACCCTGCAGATGAACAGCCTCAAGGCCGAAGACACCGCCACCTACTACTGCGCGAAACAAGCTGGTAGTAGTTATGGTAGTTGTGCTCATCCTGGTGAGATTGATCGTGCTGCTGGTGCTGCTGACATTGCTCATGGCCCAGGGAAAGGACCCGACACAACTCACCCCGGCCACCATCAGGTTGTCCACCCGCAGCTCTTCTCACGCAGTACTGGGCTCTGGGGTCATTGCTCCTGACCCTTTTAACCCATGAAATCCTCAGGGTGATGGTTGACTGATGTCCCCCTTGGGTTTCTGCAAGGGCGGGACCACCGCATGGCCAGGGTCCTGCTGGAGAACCCCCTGATGGAGGGGGTTCCATGCCGAAGACACCGCCACCTACTACTGCACGAGAGGTTATGCTGGTAGTGCTTGGTACGGTGGTAGTGCTGGTGGTGTTGATGGCTGACAATATTCACATCACCAGCACCAGCACCAAGGTCACCAGGAGCACCAGCACCAGCAATATCTTCAGCACCAACACCACAACCATCATCACTTTTCGCGCAGTAGTAGGTGGCGGTGTCTTCGGCCTTGAGGCTGTTCATCTGCAGGGTGGCCGTGCTCTGCCCGTTGTTCCTGGAGAGGGTGAAGCGTCCCTTCACCGCCGGCGCGTAGTATGTGCTACCACCGCTGGTAATAAGTGCAACGAACTCGAGCCCCTTCCCGGGTGCCTGTCGGATCCATCCCATGCCCTTGCTGCTGAAGTCAAAGCCGGAGCCCTTGCAGACCAGGGTCAGGGACCCCCCGGGACTCACGAGGCCCCCTCCGGACCCATCCAATGTCGCTGCCGCCCGCAGCCCTGGGGAGGAAGGACAGAGAGCGGTGGGCTCGTGAGTCCTGGGGGGTCCCTGACCCTGGTCTGCAAGGGCTCCGGATACACCTTCAGCAGCTACTGGATGTATTGGGTGCGACAGGCACCTGGGAAGGGGCTCGAGTTCGTCGTACAAATTAACCCTGATGGTAGTAGCACATACTACGCGCCGGCGGTGCAGGGACGCTTCACCATCTCCAGGAACAACGGGCAGAGCACGGCCACCCTGCAGATGAACAGCCTCAAGGCCGAAGACACCGCCACCTACTACTGCGCAAAATGTGCTGGTAGTAGTTGTGCTTATGCTGCTAGGATTGATGGTGCTGCTGGTGCTGGAGCTGCTGATGACACTGGTTGTGGTACTGGTCATGCTGATGGTGTTGGTGATGGTCTTTGTGAAGATCATAATGGCACGGGTGATGCTAAATTGTCAGCCATCAACACACGAGCACAATCACCACTCCAATAACCACTAGCATCTTTCGCGCAGTAGTAGGTGGCGGTGTCTTCGGCCTTGAGGCTGTTCATCTGCAGGGTGAGCGTGCTGTACCAGTAGCTCCTGGAGATGGTGAAGCGTCCCTTCACCGCCGGCGCGTAGTTTGTGTAACTACCATCATCGTCAATACCCGCGACGTATTCGAGCCCCTTCCCGGGTGCCTGCCGGATCCATCCCATGCTGAAACTGCTGAAGGTGTATCCGGAGCCCCTGCAGACCAGGGTCAGGGACCCCCCGGGACTCACGAGGCCCCCTCCGGACTCATCCAAGGTCTCGGCCGTCCGCAGCCCTGGGGAGGAAGGACAGAGAGCGGTGGGCTCAGCCTGAGGGGTCCCTGACCCTGGTCTGCAAGGGCTCCGGATACACCTTCAGCAGCTACAGCATGTTTTGGGTGCGACAGGCACCCGGCAAGGGGCTTGAAAGTAGTCGCAGCTATTAGCAACGATGGTAGTAGCACAGGCTACGCATCGGCGGTGAAGGGACGCTTCACCATCTCCAAGAACGACGGGCAGAGCACGGTCACCCTGCAGATGAACAGCCTCAAGGCCGAAGACACCGCCACCTACTACTGCGCGAAAAGTTATGGTGCTGGTAGTGGTGGTTGGGGTTATGGTGAAGGTATTGCTGGTGCTGCTGATGCTGGAGCTGCTCGTGGCACTGGTTGTGGTACTGGTCATGCTGATGGTGTTGGTGATGGGCTTTGTGATATTTATGATGGTACTGGTGACTCTAATATTTTCAGCCATTAACACCACCAGCACTACCACCACCCCAAGCACTACCAGCACCACCTCTCGCGCAGTAGTAGGTGGCGGTGTCTTCGGCCTTGAGGCTGTTCATCTGCAGGGTGGCCGTCCTGTACCAGGAGCTCCTGGAGACCAGGTGTCCCTGATCCGCCGACGCGTACCTTGTGTCACTACCACCCTTCCGAAAGTTTAGGATGTATTTGGGCCCCTTCCCGGGTGCCCGTTGCACCCATCCCATGTGGTAGCTGCTGAAGGTGAAGCCGGAGCCTTTGCAGACCAGGGTCAGGGACTACCCAGGCTGAGCCCACCGCTCTCTGTCCTTCCTCCCCAGGGCTGCGGGCGGCCGAGACCTTGGATGAGTCCGGAGGGGGCCTCGTGAGTCCCGGGGGGTCCCTGACCCTGGTCTGCAAGGGCTCCGGATACACCTACAGTGAATACCGCATATATTGGGTGCGACAGGCACCTGGGAAGGGGCTCGAATATGTCGCACAAATTGGCACCAGTGGTAGAAGCATACACTATGCACCGGCGGTGGAGGGACGCTTCACCATCTCCAGGAACGACGGGCAGAGCACGGCCACCCTGCAGATGAACAGCCTCAAGGCCGAAGACACCGCCACCTACTACTGCACGAGAAGTTATTCTTGCGGTGGTTGTACTGCTATTGATTGGATTGATGGTGATGCTGGTGCTGCTGGTGCAGGAAATTTGGGCTTAATTTAGTACTTTGGGGTCAATGGAATGAGTTGGGTTCAGCAAATGCTTTGGGGTGGAATGCCAGGGATTTGGGTGATCAAGATGAGCAATGTGACCAGCACCACCACCACCACCACCACCGCCACAATCAATGCCAAGACCGTCAACATCACCAAGAGCATTTTTAATGTCACCACCACCACCAATGTAACCAGCACCAGGAGCACCAGCAATGTCACTACCAGCAGCTGTAGTATAACTACTAGCACTTTTCGCGCAGTAGTAGGTGGCGGTGTCTTCGGCCTTGAGGCTGTTCATCTGCAGGGTGAGCGTGCTCTGCCCGTTGTTCTTGGAGATGGTGAAGCGTCCCTTCACCGCCGGCGCGTAGAATGTGGTACCACCACCCTCGCTAATAGTCACAACAAACTCGAGCACCTTTCCAGGTGCATGTTCTAGCCATACCATGCCGACACTGCTGAAGGTGAAGCCGGAGCCCTTGCAATCCAGGGTCTGGGACCCCCCAGGCTGAGCCCACCGCTCTCTGTCCTTCCTCCCCAGGGCTGCGGGCGGCCGCCACCTTGGATGAGTCCGGAGGGGGCCGCGTGAGTCCCGGGGGGTCCCTGACCCTGGTCTGCAAGGGCTCTGGCTTCACCTTCAGCAGCTACAACATGGCATGGATGCGACAGGCACCCGGGAAGGGGCTCGAGTGGGTCGCGGGTATTACCAGCAGTGGTAGTACCACATTCTACGCTCCGGCGGTGAAGTGACGCTTCACCATCTCCAGGAACAACGGGCAGAGCACGCTCACCCTGCAGATGAACAGCCTCAAGGCCGAAGACACCGCCACCTACTACTGCGCGAAAGGTGCTTGTAGTGGTTGTGGTGATAATGCTGGTGGTGTTGATGGCTGACAGGATTAACATCACCAGCACCAGCACCAAGATCTCCAGGAGCACCAGCACCACCAATATCTTCAGCACCAACACCATAACCATCAGCACTTTTCGCGCAGTAGTAGGCGGCGGTGTCTTTGGCCTTGAGGTCATTCATTAGTAGGAAGAACACGCTCTGCCCGTTGTCCCTGGAGATGGTGAAGCGTCCCTTCACCGCCGACGCGTACCATGTGCTACTACCATCGTTGTTAATAACTGCGACCACTTCGAGCCCCTTCCCGGGTGCCTGTCACACCCACCACATGTAGTAGCTGCTGAAGGTGAAGCCGGAGGCCTTGCAGACCAGGGTCAGGGACCTCCCGGGACTCACGAGGCCCCCTCCGGACTCATCCAAGGTGGCGGCCGCCCGCAGCCCTGGGGAGGAAGGACAGAGAGCGGTGGGCTCGTGAGTCCCGGGGGGTCCCTGACCCTGGTCTGCAAGGGCTCCGGATACACCTTCAGCAGCTACTACATGGAGTGGGTGCGACAGGCACCTGGGAAGGGGCTCGAGCTGGTCGCGAGTATTAGCACCAGTGGCAGTAGCACATGGTACTTGCCGGCCGTGGAGGGACGCTTCACCATCTCCAGGAGCTACTGGTACAGCACGGCCACCCTGCAGATGAACAGCCTCAAGGCCGAAGACACCGCCACCTACTACTGCGCGAAAGATGCTGGTAGTTATGCTGGTGATGGTTCTCGTATTGATGTTGCACGTGGTGGTGGTGTTGGTACCACACAGAGCACACGGAAGGGCCTTGGACATGCATTTTGGGGTCTCCTCCACCATCCCCCTTCCATTTGGTGGTGTTTTCATGACCACCCTTCATCCCTTGGCCAACCTCCATCACCCTCTGCCCATGCAGCCCATCCATCAGGGGGTTCTCCAGCAGGACCCTGGCCATGCGGTGGTTGAGACCTTGCAGAAACCCAAGGGGGACATCAGTCAGCCATCACCCTGAGGGTTTCATGGGTGAAAAGGCTCAGAATTGATGACCCCAGAGGCCAGTGCTGCGTGAGAAGAGCTGCGGGTGGACAACCTGATGGTGGCCGGGGTGAGTTGTGTCGGGGCCTTTCCCTGGGCCATGAGCAATGCCAGCAGCAGCAGCAAGATCAGTTCCAGCAGCATAACTCCAACCACCACTACCAGCTTGTTTCGCGCAGTAGTAGGTGGCGGTGTCTTCGGCCTTGAGGCTGTTCATCTGCAGGGTGAGCGTGCTCTGCCCGTTGTTCCTGGAGAGGGTGAAGCGTCCCTGCACTGCCGATGCGTAGCCTGTGTAACTATCACCAGGGTTAATTTGTGCGACGAACTCAAACCCCTTCCCAGGTGCCTGTCGCACCCACCACATGTAGTAGCTGCTGAAGGTGTATCCAGAGCCCTTGCAGGCCAGGGTCAGGGACCCCCCGGGACTCACGAGGCCCCCTCCGGACTCAGAGAACCCGAGCACTGTGCTTCCTGTCACTCAGCTCCTCCACATCTCCCTTCCCTCCACCAGCCTCTGCTGCCGTGTGGCCGTCTGGCACCACATCTCCTCTCTTCAGATCTCACAGCAGTCCTTGGATAGTCCCAAACATCTCCGGCTTCTCCTTCAGCAGCTACGCCATGATGTGGGTGCGACAGGCACCCGGGAAGGGGCTCGAGTACGTCGCGGGTATTGACAACAGTGGTAGTTACACATCCTACGCGCCGGCGGTGAAGGGACGCTTCACCATCTCCAAGAACGACGGGCAGAGCACGCTCACCCTGCAGATGAACAGCCTCAAGGCCGAAGACACCGCCACCTACTACTGCGCGAAAGGTGCTGCTAGTGGTTGTTGTTATGCTTCTGCTTATGAGGTTGCTCGTGCTGCTGGCAATGGTGCTGCTGGTGATGTAGGTTGTGGTGTTCGCCAGTGTTGGTGCTGCTCCTGGTGTTGGTGGTGTTAATGGTGTTGGGGATGTTGAAGGTGTTATGGATCTTAAGGGTGTTGGTGCTGTTGATTATGTTGGCGATGGTGACGATGATGTTGATGAAGGTCTTGGGGGTCTTAATAGTGCTCCTGATTGTGATAGTTACAAATACGAGCACTATCACCACTCCAACCACTGTCACGATACTCTCTGTCATCATCATGTCTAGCACCATCATCACCACTAACACCTCTATCAACAGCGCAGTCACCATCACCACCAGCAGCAGCAGCACTACCTGGATTACAACAACGTCTCACACAGTAGTAGGTGGCGGTGTCTTCGGCCTTGAGGCTGTTCATCTGCAGGGTGGCCGTGCTCTGCCCGTTGTCCCTGGAGATGGTGAAGCGTCCCTGCACCGCTGGCGCGTAGTATGTGCTACTACCATAGCTGTCAATACCCGCGACCCACTAAAGCGCCTTCCCGGGTGCCTGTCGCACCCACATCATGGCGTAGCTGCTGAAGGTGAAGCCGGAGATGTTTGGGACTATCCAAGGACTGCTGTGAGATCTGAAGAGAGGAGATGTGGTGCCAGACGGCCACACGGCAGCAGAGGCTGGTGGAGGGAAGGGAGATGTGGAGGAGCTGAGTGACAGGAAGCACAGTGCTCGGGTTCTCTGAGTGCGAAGGGGGCCTCGTGAGTCCCGGGGGGTCCCTGACCCTGGTCTGCAAGGCCTCCGGCTTCACCTTCAGCAGCTACGGCATGGGATGGATGCGACAGGCACCCGGGAAGGGGCTCGAGTTCGTCGCGCTTATTACCAGCAGTGGTAGCACATACTACGCGTCGGCGGTGAAGGGACGCTTCACCATCTCCAGGAACAACGGGCAGAGCACGGCCACCCTGCAGATGAACAGCCTCAAGGCCGAGGACACCGCCACCTACTACTGCGCGAAAGACTATCGTGGTGGTCAGGCTCTTGCTGGTGCTGGTGGTGGTGCTGACAGTATTGGTGCTCTCCATGATGATGATCATGGTGGCGTTGGTGCTGGTGCTGTCCGTATTCATGGTGAGAAGAGCTGCAGGAAGCTGGGACTGGTTGTGTCGGGTGTATTCCCTGGGCCATGAACAATGCCAGCAGCAGCACCACGATCAATTCCAGCAGCATAACTCCAACCACCACTACCAGCTTGTTTCGCGCAGTAGTAGGTGGCGGTGTCTTCGGCCTTGAGGCTGTTCATCTGCAGGGTGGCCGTGCTCTGCCCGTTGTTCCTGGAGATGGTGAAGCGTCCCTTCACCGCCGGCGCGTAGTATGTGCTGCCACCACCGGTAATACTCGCGACGTATTCCAGCCCTTTCCCGGGTGCCTGTCGCACCCAAAACATGGGGTAGCTGCTGAAGGTGAAGCCGGAGCCCTTGCAGACCAGGGTCAGGGACCCCCCGGGACTCACGAGGCCCCCTCCGGACTCATCCAAGGTCTCGGCCGCCCGCAGCCCTGGGGAGGAAGGACAGAGAGCGGTGGGCTCAGCCTGGGGGGTCCCTGACCCTGGTCTGCAAGGGCTCCGGCTTCACCTTCAGCAGCTACGACATGGAGTGGGTGCGACAGGCACCCGGGAAGGGGCTCGAGTTCGTCGCATATATTAGCAGCAGTGGTAGTACCACAAGATACGCGCCGGCGGTGAAGGGACGCTTCACCATCTCCAGGAACAACGGGCAGAGCACGCTCACCCTGCAGATGAACAGCCTCAAGGCCGAAGACACCGCCACCTACTACTGCGCGAAAGATGCTGGTAGTTATACTACAACTCCTGGTAGTGACATTGCTGGTGCTCCTCGTGCTGGTTACATCGATGGTGGTGGTGATATTAAAAATGGTCTTGGTGATGTTGACGGTCTTGGTATTGATTGTGGTGGTGCTGGTGTTGGTGGTGGTGGTCACATTGGTCATCTTGATCACCCAAATCCCTGGCATTCCACCCCAAACCATTTGCTGAACCCAACTCATTCCATTGACCCCAAGGTGCTAAATTAAGCCCAAATTTCCCGCACCAGCATCACCAGCAGCACGAGCAGCACCACCAGTCCAACCACCAGCAGCAGCACATCCAATCCCATTATAACTTCTCGTGCAGTAGTAGGTGGCGGTGTCCTCGGCCTTGAGGGTGTTCATCTGCAGGGTGGCCGTGCTCTGCCCGTCGTTCCTGGAGATGGTGAAGCGTCCCTCCACCTCCGGCAAGTACCAACCAGTCCTACCATTGTATTTTATAGTTGCAACCCACTCGAGCTCCTTCCCCGGTGCCTGTCGCACCCAGTCCAAGTAGTAGCTGCTGAAGGTGAAGCCGGAGCCCTTGCAGACCAGGGTCAGGGACCCCCCGGGACTCACGAGGCCCCCTCCGGACTCATCCAAGGTCTCGGCCGCCCGCAGCCCTGGGGAGGAAGGACAGAGAGCGGTGGGCTCAGCCGCACGGCACGGGCCCCCGCACGGCCGTGGGGAGCCGGGGCCGCCGGCAGCCTGCGCGGGACCGGGCCCTACCTGGGACGGCGGCCAGGAGGAGGAGGAGGGCGAAGGCGTGAGGCCGAGGACTCATGGTGGGGAAGGGAAGGGGTGCTGGGTGTTGTTGGAATGCTGTTGATGGGCGTTTTTGAAGGTTCCAGGAGTGGGCGTTCATTGCGTTTCCTCCTTGGGGTATTTCATTGCATTCCATACCACGCACTCATTAATTGCATGCACTCAATTATTTCATGGTTGATTCTTGACTGGAACTCATTGTGGTTCTTTGGTGAAGACAAGGAACTCAATAAACTTGATTTTTTTTTGTATTTTCCACCATATTCTAATTAATTGGGCCTGTGGAATTATTTCATTTTGATCTTTGACTAGCATTTGTTTCATTTCTTCATAATTCCATTTAATTCCCTACCCCGCACTAATTCATGGGGATTTTTTATTTATTTTATCATAATACCTGATCAGTTATGACACTGAATTATTTAATTGGATGGGTTATTTGATATTAACGCTGAGTAATTGAATTGCAATCTCTTCTAAAATGCACACAGAAAACAGAAAGCAGCCGTGTTTTGGGGCTGCTCCAGCTGCTGAGGTTTCAGGCCGTACCAAAATAACTCGTTTTTCTGCCCAGAAATAGCCCCCGCACAAACATCTGGCTGGCTGCGCTTGGCTGGGCAGCGCTGCAGGTCTCAGCAAAAACTTCTCAAATTGGGGGATTTTTATATAAAAAGTGGAAAGACATTCCCACATTTTGGACTCAGCTGCCCCCAAAGTGTTAAAAATATGTTAGTATTCTGGGAAAAAAAGGAAAAGGAGGAAAAAAATCCATGTAATATGTGCGTTAATGAAGAGGATAATAATCAACACCCCAATTTCATTCAAACTGGTGTTAAAAAGTAGGAAATGTGTATTATTTGCATTGAAAAATATCAATAAATGGCAAAGACCCCCCATTTTGTGGCCACATTGCCCCTGAAAATGGGCCAGGTGCTCATATTTGGGGCAAAGAGGGTATATAGAGGCTAACATCTCTGTATTTGGGGTAAAAATACCCATGAAAGGGCAAAAGCGTTGTCCATACTGAGGTCAAGAGTAAGCATAAGAGGCAACGCGTTCTTCTATTTGGGAGAAGGGTGGCCAAAAATAGGAATGTAATTTATATTTTGGAACAAAATGTTGTGATACTGGGGGTAAAACAGAGCTCGCTGCAGTGCATGGGTAGTCCCAAACATCTCCAGCTTCCCCTTCAGCAGCTACCTCATGGCATGGGTGCGACAGGCGCCCGGGAAGGGGCTCGAGTGGGTCGCGAGTATTTACAGTGATGGTAGTAGCCCATGGTACGCGCCGGCGGTGAAGGGACGCTTCACCATCTCCAGGAACAACGGGCAGAGCACGGCCACCCTGCAGATGAACAGCCTCAAGGCCGAAGACACCGCCACCTACTACTGCGCGAAAGAGGCTTACGGTGGTTCTTGTGATCCTTATGAAATTGATGCTGCTCCTGGTGCTGCTGGTGATATTTGTTCTGGTTCTGGTTCTGATAATCGTACTGGTGATGTTAGTATTTTGACCCATCAAGGCCATCAGCACTATCAATATTCCAACCACCACTACCAGCAGCTTTCGCGCAGTAGTAGGTGGCGGTGTCTTCGGCCTTGAGGCTGTTCATCTGCAGGGTGAGCGTGCTCTGCCCGTTGTTCCTGGAGATGGTGAAGCGTCCCTTCACCGCCGGCGCGTATCTTGTGGTACTACCATCGCTGCTAATACTCGCAACGAACTCGAGCCCCTTCCCGGGTGCCTGTCGCACCCAGTTCGTGTTGTAGCTGCTGAAGCTGGGGATGTTTGGGACTCCTCAAATAGAGGGACACCTTGACTCTTTTTATCTTACTGTTCACATTTCTATGATTACACTTTTACCGTTTCATGGCTACTTTTCCCCAGATCGAGGGGTGCTGTGCTGTGAAGACCTTGGGCAGGAATTGTCCTTCTCCCACACAGGGCGTCCAGCAGAGTCCAATTCATTGCGGGTATTATCAGTGGTGGTAGCGGTACGTCCTGAACCATCACCAGCAGCACCATCAATCGGATCAGGAGTATAACCATAAGCACCGTAAGCACCTCTGGCGCAGTAGTAGGTGGCGGTGTCTTCGGCCTTGAGGCTGTCCATCTGCAGTGTGGCCGTGCTGTACCAGTAGCTCCTGGAGATGGTGAAGCGTCCCTTCACCGCCGGCGCGTAGAATGTGGTACCACCACCCTCGCTAATAGTCACAACAAACTCGAGCACCTTTCCAGGTGCATGTTCTATCCATACCATGCCGACACTGCTGAAGGTGAAGCCGGAGCCCTTGCAGTCCAGGGTCAGGGACCCCCCAGGCTGAGCCCACCGCTCTCTGTCCTTCCTCCCCAGGGCTGCGGGCGGCCGCCACCTTGGATGAGTCCGGAGGGGGTTGAGTGAGTCCCGGGGGGTCCCTGACCCTGGTCTGCAAGGGCTCTGGATACACCTTCAGCAGCTACTACATGTGGTGGGTGCGACAGCCACCTGGGAAGGGGTTTGAGTTCGTCGCACAAATTAACCCTGGTGGTAGTTACACAGGCTACGCGTCGGCGGTGCAGGGACGCTTCACCCTCTCCAGGAACAATGGGCAGAGCACGGCCACCCTGCAGATGAACAGCCTCAAGGCCGAAGACACCGCCACCTACTACTGCGCGAAACAAGCTGGTAGTAGTTATGGTAGTTGTGCTCATCCTGGTGAGATTGATCGTGCTGCTGGTGCTGCTGACATTGCTCATGGCCCAGGGAAAGGCCCCGACACAACTCACCCCGGCCACCATCAGGTTGTCCACCTGCAGCTCTTCTCACGCAGCACTGGCCTCTGGGGTCATCACTTCTGAGCCTTTTCACCCATGAAATCCTCAGGGTGATGGTTGACTGATGTCCCCCTTGGGTTTCTGCAAGGTCTGGACCACCGCATGGCCAGGGTCCTGCTGGAGAACCCCCTGATGGAGGGGCTGCATGGGCAGAGGGTGATGGAGGTTGGCCAAGGGATGAAGGGTGGTCATGAAAACACCACCAAATGGAAGGGGGATGGTGGAGGAGACCCCAAAATGCATGTCCAAGGCCCTTCCGTGTGCTATGCGTGGTACCACCACCACCACCACGTGCAACACCAATACCATAAGCACCACCAGCATAACTACCAGCATCTTTCGCGCAGTAGTAGGTGGCGGTGTCTTCGGCCTTGAGGCTGTTCATCTGCAGGGTGAGCGTGCTCTGCCCGTTGTTCCTGGAGATGGTGAAGCGTCCCTTCACCGCCGGCGCGTAGTATGTGCTACCACCACCGGTAATACTCGCGACGTATTCCAGCCCTTTCCCGGGTGCCTGTCGCACCGAAAACATGGGGTAGCTGCTGAAGGTGAAGCCGGAGCCCTTGCAGACCAGGGTCAGGGAGCCCCCAGGCTTCACGAGGCCCCCTCCGGTCTCGTCCAACGTTGCGGCCGCCCGCAGCCCTGGGGAGGAAGGACAGAGAGCGGTGGGCTCAGCCGCACGGCACGGGCCCCCGCACGGCCGTGGGGAGCCGGGGCCGCCGGCAGCCTCCGCGGGACCGGGCCCTACCTGGGACGGCGGCCAGGAGGAGGAGGAGGGCGAAGGCGTGAGGCCGAGGACTCATGGTGGGGAAGGGAAGGGGTGCTGGGTGCTGTGGGGACGCTGCGTATTTGAAGGCGTCCAAGGGGGCATGAATTGGGTTAACCCTCCTTGGGTTATTTCACTGAATTGAGTTAATTCGTAATAAGTCAACGGAGCCCACCGCTCTCTGTCCTTCCTCCCCAGGGCTGCGGGCGGCCGCCACCTTGGATGAGTCCGGAGGGGGCCTCGTGAGTCCCGGGGGGTCCCTGACCCTGGTCTGCAAGGGCTCCGGCTTCACCTTCAGCAGCTACGCCATGGAGTGGGTGCGACAGGCACCCGGGAAGGGGCTCGAGTTGGTCGCGCGTATTAGCAGCAGTGGTAGTACCACAAACTACGCGCCGGCGGTGGAGGGACGTTTCACCATCTCCAGGAACAACGGGCAGAGCACGCTCACCCTGCAGATGAACAGCCTCAAGGCCGAAGACACCGCCACCTACTACTGCGCGAAAGACTGTTGT